TCCATAAGTTCCTCACAATGCGGCGGATTCACTTGGAAGGAACCGGACACAGGCTTAAAGTCCAAAAATGGTCTGTAAGAATAAGATTGTTATTAGAATTGAAGTACATTAAGCAGAATTCTTTATTTGACTTACCCTCTGGAACCGAAGTACGCATCCGTGTCCGCAAATGCTGAGCAATATTGCCGAAAATAGGAATTGAATGGCGATGCAAAGCATTCAAAGCTAACACCAAAATGCCTGTGCAGGCACTCAAAGACGGGCACCGGCAGCGCGGCCTGTGTGAGCTCCGCCTCCTGGGATGAGTTTAAGGCATTACCCAGGAAGGTCTGGTAGCGTTTAAGCAGGCACCACACCCGGCCAATGAACAGATCAAACTTCTTGTCGTCGAAGCAATTGTGACGGTAGAGCTGTTCCAGCTTTTGGAGATAGGTGAGGTTGATGTACTGCGCATCCGGCTGATTGATGGTCGCGGGCGTATACTTAATGATCATATGATCACGATCCTGCAGATATTCAATGGCCGGCATACGAGGCGAGGGCACTGCAAACTGTATGGGATAGCACCACACCTTTTTCAAATGGGGCGGCGGCGGTGGCGGCGTTGGTTCCGGTATGCCATGCTCCTTGAGCAGCTGCAAATGACGTTCCCGTATCTTACGTGCATGCTCCGCTGACAGATGGTAGATCTTGACGCATAATGTTTCCACGGAACTCTTAACCGTCTCTACCAAATGCGGTTCGCATTGCCGCTTCAGATGAGCCAAACGATCCTGGAAATCCTCATAGCTGGCACCCACCGTGCGGCGCAGCCATTGAAATGTATCCTCCACATTCCACTTGACAACCTTCTTAGACTCCGCCGGCGCTGAGCGCGACTCGATGATCTGTTTGGCCGCCTCGGCATATCGGGACAATTGCTTGCGTGCGTCGCCCGTGAACTTGGGCTTGACAATCTTGATGGGTATATCGGCCATAATCTCTCGATACATGGAACTGGATATTTCGGGCACGCAGTTGCTGGGCAGCAACGGATCGCAGCCGGTGTCTATGACCTTTCGTTCCATGAGCCAGCGATTAAAGGAGTCCCGCGGCGCCTTGATGTTCTCCCTACGCATGCAAAGATCCTCATATGTCTTGAGCAGCTTCATGGTGAAAGCAGCGCGTAAAGCCTCGATCTCTGGGTGCGGCTGCGGCAGTAACGTGGGTGGGCGCTCAACAATCACTGCATTGGTGCACACCTCCAGATCCCAGGGACCGGCCAGCACAAACTTCTTCATGGGAGGTCCGCCGTGCGGACCCATATGCTGCTGCTGCAGCTGTTGATGGTGCGGGTGCGGGTGTATGTGCATGTCATCCGAGGGCCGACGCTTCAAATGATGATGATGTTGCTGCTGGTGAGGCGTCATGGGCGTTGGGCCGCCAACACCGCCAACACCACCATGGCAGATGCCCAATGGATCCGTTAGCGGATCAAAGGGGCGTGCGCCTGGCATTTCCCACAGCGATTCTCCTGTGACCTTATTCCAATAATACGGACGATTCTCTCGCTTTGACCAGAACTTGCGCCACCCCTGATTAACAAGCTCCCCTGTCAACTCCTCACCATAGCCACCAGGTCCAAGTGTGGGTGGGCCCTGCGGCGTGTGAGCCATTGCCTCCAGCGTGGGCGGTGCATGATGTGATTTTGTTGGCGTCGATGGTGACGAGCAGCTGGGCACCGGTGAGCTACCAGCGCTCATCATGTGTCCAGCTGCGTCCGATGTAGACGCAGCCGCTGCCGTTGTTGTTGCCGTCGACGATGTAGGTGACGGTGTCATATTATTAGAGGCACTCGCAGTCAACTGATCCCAGGCACTCTGAGCACTGGTGCTCGGCTGCATCATGGAACCCACTGAGCCGGTGGAGGCGATCACCGACGGCGGCACCTGCAGCGCTCCCAAATTGTGCATGTTGCTGTTGTTCGCAGCCATTTGAGCTCTGCAAAAC